GGGGGGGTTCAGGGGGGGGGGATTTGAGGGGCAAGGGTTTTACCTGTTCTGTACAACTTGGACCAGCTCTGACAAACGGTCCCGTTCCACTTCTGTAGCTTGCATCACTGTGTGATATTCCTGGCATTGATAGGTCAAATCTGCGATAGCCTGACGGTCGGCATGGTTACTGGTGACAACAATGGGTTTTATAACTTCTGTTAGACAACAAGACATTTCAACAACTTTCTTCTTATCTTTATAAAGAATGTATTAACCCTTTCACCACTGTAGACTATAATGGACTTGTCCATATCTATGTACAGTAGTGTCTACTAACATTACATAGGGGTGAAAGGGTTATACAACATGCTGTTTGAAAAGCAATCTAAACCTCCTTTTTATTACAACTTAACAACTAATCAGCTGGTTGAAGATACTGTGAACCAGGCGGCAACATTTTTGCTCTTCAAATTTAAAAAAAAAATTTTTTGCAAATTCAGCATGCGGCAAATTTAGTGATATTTTAAAAGACAAAAGAGAGCAAAGGTTTGGCGGAACAAAAATATCGCCTTTTACAGTAAAGAATATGTATTTGTTTTTCATTTTTTTCTATCTATTCTATCTTTCTGATTTTCTTCAATATGGCAGATAAACAGAAATATTCAAAAGCCTTGAAATCCCAGAACTTTATACAGCTTTAAAACAGATCTTGTATAAGAAGTTTTCTTCCTCGTCTGTAATATACAACTTACTTAGTAGGCGTCCTCGCAGACTTCCGAGATGGGACCCTGGAACTGTCCAACATGCTGTTTGATGTTAGTGGTCTGTCCATGGCAGATGAGAGAGGACGATCCTTCATTCCAGACGGAGGCCTCTCACTTAACCTGTGTCAAAACAATACATACACTCACAGACATAAACATGGTTAATTTTTAAATCTAATTATATATCACCTCAATCATTTGATATATTTTGCTAGATATGTATTTTTGTGTATTTTGCAAGAAACCATACAAATTGTTTTACAGTACATTTATTTCCAATAGCTTTAATAGCTACAAACAATTTTTATTCCATACTATTTGGCTATGATTTTACTATGTTATGATGAAAAAAAATGGGTATTGGAAGTAAACAATGAAGTTTAAAAGTACCACAATATTACTGCCTAACCATAGGATATCATTCATAATACTCAGGGTTCAGATTAGGCAGGTTTAATATGAACAAGAATGATGTGAGGAATCATTAGCCATTTCACTAATTACATCTGTGAGGTACATGTCAGAGACAATTAACTGAAATGCTGACAGTAATCTAAACTAGAGTTGTAAGGCTTATATAAACTTAATACCCCTTCTCCTCTAAAGAAAACCATTACATCTACAACTTAATTTTCATCAAAATCTCCCTCCACAATAATGAAGTAATTGGCCTCAGACCACAATTACACTTCTGGGTCATTGTACACAAATGTAGTGCATAAGGACATTTCAGGTGGGTTACTAAATAATTTGTCCTGTCTGATCTATGACAGATATGTACAGTTTTTTTACATAGAATTGTTCAACAATATCTATTCTAGTGAATAAATTTTGTTTGACACAGTTTCCAAGTTTGTATTGGCAGCAGGACACAATGAGTGGTGAGGCTTGCATGGTGATTGTTTGTGATTTTTGGTATTTTCCCCTAAACATGCAGGGTAGTGACATTCAAATAAAACTATCTTTCTTAAATGCAGGTCATGAGGTACTTTCCAGCTCACTGTACGTTCTGTTTGAATAGATCTACATTATGAAATAGGAACCAGACACTGTGCAAAGTTTTAAAATATTTTAATATTTTTTTCCTTTGGTATAACATATAGTAGAATAAATTGTGGTCTGAGGCCAATTACTCAGAACAGGGTTATCCCCCTTGACATGAATGAAGTAATTACTCAATCGGGAACCGTCGGCACTTTCCGTAAACGAGTATTTTCTCGTTTACGGAAAGTGCCGACGGTTCCCTATTGGTAATTACTCAGACAGAAACAGGATTATCTCCCTTGACAATACTGCAGTAATTTTTCAGGACAGGGTTACCTACCTTGACTGTGTCGGGGTGACTGAGGACACGGTGAAATCCAGTTCTATGTTGTTATCACATGTCATTGGACGGCTGCTGGGTATAGATGACGGAGGGCGGTTGTCCACATGTTGGAACAGCTGGCTTACCCCCTCTTCTTGAGCTTTGTGTAGATGCTGATTGTACAAAAATAATATAAATTTAATATTAGTTGACTTCCCATACATTTTTGGTATTCAATGAAATGGAATCTTAATAAATTTGATTCTGTAAAGCTGTAATCAGATGAAAAATGAATCAAACATTAAGTCTCCTTGGGAAATCTAAGAGTACTAATATTGATTGAGAAATATTCACACTGAAATGAAACATAAGACTGAGTTGGCTCAAATTTAAAATTGAACAGAAGTTAAGAAATACTCACAATGAGCCATACTCACATTAAAATCATAAAACAGAAGAAATAGCAGTACTGTACTCACCATGAGAATGAACAGAAGATTCATCAGTTCTCACACTCGAATTGTATAAGAAAATATTGAGCAGTTTTCGCATTGAAACTGCTCAGAAGATTAAGCGATACTCTTACTGAGTCTAAACTGAGGAATGAGCAGAACACACAATGATTTTGAAGAGAACATTGAGCAGTACTTGCAGTGATACTGAAAAGCTTCAACCATACTAATGTAACAGGAGAAAGAGGAGAAAGAGAATATGTAACATCCAGACCGGGGTTGGAACCCGGGACCCTCCGAACTCTAGAGGGACGCTCTACCAATTGAGCTACCTAGTCACCGATGATCGACCCAGTCCATTTCCCCAACATTCCTTCTTCTTTTTTCTAAGTCTTCGCCCCCGAAGACACAACTATTTACAACCAAAGTTCGGGTATTTCCTTGATAAGTATACTCCAAATGCTTGAAACAAGGATTGGCAAACTCGCCAATTTTGTAACAGGAGAAAGATGATCGACACAGTCCAGTTCCACTACACTAATACTGAAATCAAATCGGAGACTGAGAAGTACTCACATTGCGTTTGAGCTGCCTGATCTCGTCCTCGAGTTGATGGACTTTGGACTCCTTCTCCGTGACAATGACCTTGAGTTGCTGTACAATGTTGCTGTCCTGCTGAGCCTTCATGGACATATGTTTGAGCTGGGCCTCGGCCTGTTGGCTGTTGACCATCTTGTCACTACCCGACTCCTCCAACAGCTTCTGCAGCTTCGACTGCTGACGCTGGACAAGTCAAATAAAACACGTAAAATATTCTCTTAAGGGTGCAAGTCATTCATCTCACTATCTTGGAATAAAGGGGGAAACCCAATCCCAGAGATACCGCATCGTGTAAGGATTGTGGTTTTTAACCCTTTCACCACTGTAGACCCTAATGGACTCAACCAGATCAATGCAAGGTAGAATCTACTAAAGTTACATAGGGGTGAAAGGGTTAGAGAGCTAGCAATAAAAGAAGGAACAAATCTCTCACTCAGTCATAGCTTGACAAAGGGACATGTCGGTCTTGAAACGTTGCAACACGTTTAATACATACATTGTTTGTGTAGAAAGAAAAACTTCACTATACATATTTCCAAACTGATGAATCTTATTGAAGATGATAGAAGAAGAAACAAGTTTTTCCAAGTGTAGAATCTATAAAACAGAGCTGATTTCAGGATAATCTTTAATTTCAGATGTCAATGAAATTAACATTCCATGGAAATGAAATTAACATTCCATGGAAATCTGTCAAACATTTGTAAAAAAAAAATGTCAATATTTACAAAATTAACTCACATTATAATGTTAACTATTATAATTTTAACAATACTTAAATTTGGATTTTATATTTCCACATTGCTTTGTGATACCATGGAGCGATGCCACGTAAAAATTCATGCAAACAAATGTTTAAGTTGGGTTTTTTCAAGATGGGTGCAAAATACATATTGCTCTAAACAAAGTCCCTTGTTTACAACAGACAGCAGGACACTATTGTCATGGCTGAGAGCCTTTGATAACCATGTGATCACTGAGTGAAAATCCTTAATGGTCAATAGTATAAGTATATAGATATCCAGTGGTGACAGTGGGTCAGAGTAAAAAGATAAAGTATCTGGGAGAAGAAAGCAAGTGAATATGTCCCAGTGTGATGTGTTAGTTAAACAGCAGACTATTCTCAGGTTAGTTAACCCTTTCACCACTGTAGACCATAATGGACTTACCCAGATCAATGCATGGTAGAGTTGATTAAAGTTACATAGGGGTGAAAGGGTTAAACAACAAAGACTATTCTCAGATTATGAAGGATTTTCTATTGAAGGACGCTAATTTTTGTAACATCTTTTCTGTCTTTATTATAGTGGCTTACCATGAGAGCCTCTATCAGCTCGTCGTCATGGTGACCTTTCTGTATACAAGTCTGCATCTGTCCCTTCATAGACTTTATCTCATTAGCTAAAACTTTGTTCCTGAAATGAAAAACAAGTTCATGTGAATATTTTTTTTGCACTAATTTCTTCTACAAGAAAATCATGAGCTTTCCACATTGACAGTAATTCCAATATCCTAACTACAACTTTTGAGTTCTGGCTTCCAGTTTGAGATATAATCTCCATACAATACAGTCCTTTATTTCCTCATCATGTTATTATCAATATGTAGATTTGAACCAGATTCCTTGAAAAAGTGTTCCTTAAACCTTTCAAGTTTTCCCAGAATTAGTTCTTGCATTAGACCTTCATCGATGTGTAACTTATATGAAAATCTTTTATGTTTTATTCAGACATAGGTGCTCACTAAAATTTGAATTTAATTATATGAAGGCCATTTTAATCTGGAGACTTGCAAATTATGTTGAAGTACTTACTTGATACTATAGATATACAAATATTTAAAACCTGATGTGAATTGCTGAAGATATACACATTTCATGGTAATAAACATAACTTTAGAAAAGTGAAAACATTTTACCCGGGGTTCACATATTTTATAAACCAAAGAAAACATTTTACCCGGGGTACACATATTTTATAAACCAAAGAAAACATTTTACCTGAGGTACACATATCTTATAAACCAAAGAAAACATTTTACCCGGGGTACACATATTTTATAAACCAAAGAAAACATTTTACCCGGGTTACACATATTTTATAAACCAAAGAAAACGTTTTACTTAGGGTACACATATTTTATAAACCAAAGAAAATATAACCTTAATGAATTCATGCCCAAGATTTAACTTTTAACATAAACTAAAACAGATGTCACGAAAACCCCTCAAAATTGTTTAATTGGTTTAAAATGATAACATGGGACAAAAAAACACTGATGCATAAAATATGTTGAGAAAACGCTTAAGTTTGAAGCTGAAGCATTCTTTGTGATATTGAAGTCAGAATAACAAATTATGTTACCCTATATGAGATGTTGAAGACGTTGTTACTATACATAAGATGTTGATCGAGCCACGTTTATCACATAATCGGTAATAACTGTTTACCTCGTCTTCGAAGCATCCAGCTTTGTCTTTAGAGCCTCATGTTCTTCCTCTAAAGCCTTCAACTCATTGGCTTGTTTCTGTAAGGTCAAAGGTTACAGGTTAAGTTTATAAGTAATGTTAAGGTCAAAGGTTAGAGGTTACACTTATAGATGATATTGAGGTCAAAGGTTAGAGGTTACATGTATAGGTGATATTGAGGTCAAAGGTTAGAGGTTACATGTATAGGTGATATTGAGGTCAAAGGTAAGAGGCTACACTTATAGGTGATATTGAGGTCAAAGGTTACATCTTTCACAGATTATTTGTTTGTGTGATTGATAATGTTTTCTATTTAAAATTGCCACAACACACAAGAACCTTTATGTGGGAAGAATACATGGGCAGTCTTGGACCTTCCTTGAAGCAGTGACTGCTGGTTTATTTTAAAACATAAGGAGAAATTCTACCTTGATCTAGGTTGCAGGTAACGACATACTGTATATCGGGAAATTTGTATTGCAGTTAAATTTTCGCCATTCACAATGAGGGCAAATTTAGTATTACCGCGAACAGTAGTAAGAAATATTATAAACATAGTAATCAAATGTGAAGGGCAACATTCACATTGAGAGAAAATGGATTTTAATGGGCAAAAGTGTCCTAGTATAAAGTAATATATCGCCTCCAAAGTCACTTCTATAGTTTACCAGAACAAGATCTATTGTTTGTCATTGTTTCCCCTTACCTCCTGTGACTCCTTCCTTTCTTTGTCCAGCTTCCGTAGCTGTTCCCGGTGTCGGTCGTCTGCAGTGCGACGGCGTGATGAAGTCATTCCCATCATGTCCTTCTCCAGGTCTCCCTCGGGCTTTGTCTTACTAGCCAGCTGTGCACGGAGGTCCTCCAACTGTAACGATGGAACGTTTATATACCGTATTTATCCGGCATTAAGCCCATGCTTAATAATAAGTCCACCAATACATATTGACGTTACGAAGAAATATTAATGTAAGCTTTTTAATTGTCCTGTAATAAGCCCCCCCCCCCTACTTTCAGTCAGTGTGTTG